AGGTTGGTTGGTCGTGTCCCCTTTGACACCACCAATGGTTAAATATGACTACCGTTTGTACATAAAATGGAGTTATACATACGGCTTACATATAAAGTCAAAATTCTTAGAGAGGCAAATTTGCTGCAAACAGAATATGATAATACCACACTTAATACTAATTCTTACTAAATCCACCTCATTCTATTTTTCTGTTGAAAGGATGACTAGCTATGCTTTGCTTTAAGTGATTATCTAATAATAAGTAGGCTACTTGTGTTTGAAAGCCAGTAGCCAAGATGTACAAAAATTATAAAAATAAATATCAAATTGGAATTAAATAGCATTCAAGACTCTTAGTTTACAGAACCATTTAAAATAAAACTGATTGGGATATCAGCAAACCCATCTCTTACCCGATTCTTACTATTGGGTGTGTGCCTACATACACTGAGAGAAATGCCAGGCAGAATTGCCATACTATTTACACTAAAATAATCATTCTTACTACTATTATTATTTGACTGAGGGCATCTGACTGAATTCAACTAGGTAAAATGCACAGCGTATCTGCATCATAATTTACTGGGATTGCCCACACATAAGCCACCACTGATTACCAATGTATTATAATTCTTACTTACTGGAACTCTATAAGAGATGACACTACTAGCCATTTCTGTTTTATTAATACTATTTTCCCCAGTATCTTTTTTGAATTACTTCTACTGAATCATTATGGACTTCTTTTCTGAAACCAATTCATAAATATTACAGTTTCCTTGATTCTTTTCTTCTACTTTTCTTACTTGTGTCAGTTCCATCATACCACAACTGCTAAATGCATAATCTGTAACCTGAGGTTTTTTACTCATAAGTCTTTTTGTCCATTTAACATATCCATCTGGATATCATACAGACATCTCAAAACTAAGCTGATGGTATTTGCTCAAAACCTTCTCCAAACATTTCTTTTTCCATTAACAATTCTAGTTTTTGATTACTCTAAGCCCAGAAAACACAATCATTCCAATTTCTTTCATTCTTTGGCATCAAACCCTCAATAAAATTAGCCTCTACATCGTGTAAAAGTGACCTCTTGAAAATTTCTCTGTGGCTATGCTCTGTGGATATTGCATTAGTTCAAGCTAACATTGTTTTCTTTTTTGGATTATGACAAGACATCCATCTCTGTCCTCACTGATAACCAATATGTTCCTGGACTAGCCAACTGCACTAATGTCACCAGGATAATCTTTTGAAAATTTTCAATATAACACAATTTTTATGGGTTGAATTATCTCCCAAAAATCATATGTTGAAGTTCTAATTCCTAGCACTCAGATTGAAAAGTTATTTGGAAATAGATCATTGTGGATATTAATTCGTTAAGATGAGGACATACTAGAATAAGTGGATCATTAATCCATTATGACTGGTGTTCTTGTAAAAGGAGGAAATTTGGACAGGGACCTAGGTATGTACCTAGGGAGGATACCATGTGAAATGGTCAAAAGATCAGAAACAACTACAGGGAGGGTATGGAGAAAAAAATAGCCCTTGTCCTGTTGGTGGGAATGTGGACTGGTCTAACCTCTATTGAAAACAATACAGAGGTTTCTCAAAATATTGGTAACCTCTTTTTTAGACCTGGTGGTTTTGTCTGGCTTCTCCTTCAAACTCTCTTTAGAATATGGAGATTCCTGATGTCTTTATCCACAACTTTAGGAATTTAGTTGAAATCCAGGTACACTACACAACCCCCCACCATACACATAAACACACACACACTTCAATAGCCTTTTTATATAAACATGGAGAAGAAAATTTACCTATTCAGGACTTAGTTTTACTTTTTAACCAAGTATCAAAGCCACAAAGACAAATGGGGAGACATTTTGAGCAGAAAATGAGGCATTTTGATACTGCATTTATTTGCATATTAGTAAAAAGGGTAGAACTTCCTTTGAAAAGCTCAAAACACGTTTTTGAACCATTGAACTTTTGCCTTCAGTTTAGAATGGCATTTCATGCATCCAACAGTACCAATCAAACATGTAGGTCCCCATTAGGCCAATTTTAAAACCCTTCCAATTTTGTGAAAACCATAATGCTTATGCCTCAGAATTTTCCATCCTCAACAACTCCTTTCACGTCATAAGAAATATACTTCATTTAAAATAAAGAAAAGATTTTAAATTAAGTCACAAAAGATTCAGAGAATTGTAAATTCAGTCCAGTTCTTTGAGACCACAATTGATGAAAAAAGTTATTTTGCCAACTTCGGTTTGTGTTATATTCTTAATCTTATTTAAATGTAGGTATTTTGTAATTTCCGTTTTTTTTCATATTAAAAAAAAAAGAGCTGTCCGCGGGGGATTATGAACAAAAAAATTTTGTGAATGAAATGCATCTTGCAGAATCCAGTTAGTGCACATGCTTGGCCTTTATGAATGCTCAAAATAAATTTTATCTGATACAGACACTCTGGGGCTACCATCTACCATCGTCTTGTATTCAAAACACATAACTTTAAAAATTCATACGTTACAAATTACAAAGGGCGCATAAAGTGAAGACTCAACTTCCCACTAAAAAAATATAGGAACATTTCTAGTTTACTTTATGCATTGATAATCTTATTTCAGGCTTTATAGAGGATTATTTTCCACTTCTGAAACAATATCACAGTAAACTTGTCTCTGTTTAACATGTTCCCTGCCACCTCTGTATTATGTGAAAATTCCCTTTTAATATTATCAATCCTCAATTGAGAATATGTAATTTTCAGCTACATAGTAGCTTAAGTGGTTCATAAATATGCACCATATACTAGGAAGTAACATTTAAGAGTTGGAAGGAATTTAGGTCAACAAGGAGCTGGTGCAACAGGTTCCAGAAAAGTAGAATGAGTAAAAGAAGAGGGAAGAATTGGTATTTTTAAAGGCTAATTAATTCCCTCTTTTGTTGGTTGTATTTAATATTTGATGGTTTTAAAACTACCATACTAGTGGTAAGTTATCATCAAATTCATACAGGAAGCTCAGAAGGTGAGAATGCATAGAGTAGCCTGAAACAGTTCCACATCCTACTTGTTTATTCATATAGTTATCCGAAGGCTTGGGCAAAGGGACAGTTAGTATAAAGACAATGTTAGTTTTCTTTCTACAAAGAATCACAAAATATATTGGTAGTTGCAACTGATAAAATTAATTTTTCTATTAATGAAATTAAGAGATCAAAAGTAACCCATTGTCCATTGTTATAGTAAAAGAGAAAATTAGTTCCTGGGTAACATAAATAAACAGCCTAAATAAGAAATGGAACGGCAAGAGGTTATGAGAGAGCAGAAGGGAATCAAACCAGATCAAGTACAATGAATAGAAGAATATTACACAAAGGAAGAAGGGAAGAAGAGAGAAATTTAATCCATTGGAGGGATCCTTTGGGAAGAGATGTATAATTTCTGTAAAGAAAGCAATATGCCCTATTTCTTTGAAAAGACAGAAAGGTCTTCTAGAATTTGGAAACATAAAGAACTTAGTTAATGAATCTACAAAGAAGAAATAGGAGAATGGAGATTGCCATTTGTATAACTTACCTGGACAATCAGTGATTGTTCTCTCATTCTGAAATAAATACCATCCTCTCCATAGAGAGTCAACTGGGACTCACACAATTTACTGGCCTAGCACTGTACCTGAAACAAAGTTCAGTCAATAAATGTAGCTTGAAGATGAATAAATAAATGAATGAATCTTCTGGATCACAATCACTTACTTAAAATGTTGAATGGGAATAAATGATAGAAATAGAAGAAACTTGGGATAAACGCTATAAATTATAAATACATAAGCAGAAAACAAAATCATTTATTGATAGCATCTTACCCTATTTTAGAGTTGGAGCATTTTTTTTGGTAGAAGATGGGAAAAATAAGTCAGCTAAATAAGTAGGGGTACAGAAAAGGATCTGGTTGCAGCATCAGGAAACATTCTACTAGATTAATGGCTCTAAAATACATTATCCAGAATTATCTAGAAATCTTCCAGGTTTTTACTAATTTTAAAATCAAAGTCATGGGGGAGGAAAATCATTATCAGATAAACCTAAAAAATTGGATATAATGAAGGACATCAGTCATTACAATGAAACAGGGTAAACAAGGGCTGCAGAAAAAAAGGATGCATCGTCAAGAACTTCAGAGAGACTCCTGTGTGCTCAAAGTCCACACCAACATTTGGAGTATAATTCAATGCAGTAAACCCTTAAGAGTTATCATTTGAAAACATGACCATAACAATGAAAAGTTTGTTTTAATAAAAATTTGGAAGAACTAGATGAACTCTACATATCACAAAGATAGAAATTTCTTCTCTAAATCTATATTCTGCTTTTTGTGGCATTAAAGAAAACATCTCAGAAGGTAAAATAATAGAGAACAAGGGAAAATGTTACAGAGAAGGTTAATGGCTTAGCTACTGAAAGGGAGTCTTGTAGAATGTGGACTCTTGGATTGTGCCTAGAGGTGGTTTCCAGGGCTAGTCCTATCAAGAATAGTATCTACCAAGAGAGTTAAATGCCTTATAAATTCTAGAAGAATCTGGATCTTATTTGAAAGGAAAACAATACTGAATAGCAGATTTAAAGATCAAGACAAGGCAGAAAAAAGGGGTGGTCAGAAGCCGGAAGGATTAAGGGTGAGGTAGTATGTTATGGAAAAGTTTATGACAAGCAACTCACAAATAAAGCAATAGACAGAGAGCAAGAGTGTTTGGATTTCCCTTACAGAGGATGTTTAGTGTGAAAGGGGTGGGTGTGGGCAGGAATATTAACAGGTGTCAGAGGCAGCAGCTCAAAAGAATCAGAGAGCAGACTTGGAAAAGAACACAAATATAATGGTGGGGGGAATTTTCAGCTTCCTGAAATCTGTTCAAAGTGTCATTTAAGAACAAACAAATATCTTTATGATATCATCACATAAAGCATAGATTTTAGAATCAAATAGGTTTAATTTGGAACTTGGTTCCTCAGGCCCCTGTGAAGTTAGGTAAGTGATTAATCTCCACATTGGCCTCAAATTCTCATCTGTAAAATAAAAACTATCATAACGTATTTACATGCCTGTGATATCAGGAAGAGTAAATAAATTCAGAGTTGAATCATGCACATAGTGATATTCACGTAAATGTTAGCTTGCTCTTTTTTTTTAAAAAAAGATTTATTTATTTATTCATACAAGCACTGGGTACAGTCACAAGAGCGGGAGGGTGACAGAATTCACCAGAGCCAGAGTGGGGAACAGAACAGGCAGACTGATGAAGTACATTGCTGAGGGGAGCAGCGGGCGGCAGGAGAGTTCTGCGCGCCATGTGGGACCCTAGTCCAGCGGCCTGGGATTGAACCGGCGCTGCAGAGGCTGCGGGCAGCTTCGCAACCCAGCACTCAACAGCTGTACCACCGGGGAGGCCCAATGTTAGCCTTCTCTTAATATTTTCAACTAAAACAAATGATCTAAAAAGTCTTTATTTTGCCTTTAAGTAATTTTTCCACCAGAAGTCAATCTGATTATTAAGGAAGACTTGGTTAAAGAGGTAGAAATGAGAACTCTGGAGAAAGTGATGTTACCCTGTCGCCTTAAAACATTGCTTCTCTAATTCAATGTAGCTGTGAAGTATCTGAAGTTCTTTTGAATATACCCATTCTGACTCAGTTTACCTAGCATAAATGTGAGTATTTGTTGTGAGCGCCAAGGTGATACTAACGCTGCCTGTCCCTGTAGCACATATTGAGCGTCTGGGCCACAGAAATTCCAGAAGTTAGTAAAGCAAACATGCAGGAAGTCACACGTGTAACTTGGATTTTAGGAAGGCAAATTTCAGAGGCAATAGACATACTGATAAGATTTCTTAGATAAAGACCTAAAAAGATGACTGAAATCCCAAACCAATGATTAAGAGATGAAGTTCTCAAAAATGAACTCACTGTTTACATGAAATTCAAACTTTACTGACCATCTTGAATTTTATCTGGCAACTCTACACTTAGAAAAAAAAATCTGAGGGCAAAATTATGGGAAATCATCAATATTTGCTTAAAATAAAGGAAAAAAAATAAATTTTCTTCTGTGAAAACGTTGATATCAAGAAACCACAAGACATATATTTAAAAATTAAAACTAGAAAAACATCAAGAGGGATAAGGGCAAAGTCTCTTTAAAAATAGTTAGTTGTTAAAACTTGCCAGACTTCTCAACCTATTTAGACCTATCCTGTCATGTGTGTATGTGGGTGTATTTTGGGGTAAACTCTAAAACAGCTTTTAAGTGTTTTCTATACTTTGTCCTTCCTACTTGGAGGTCACTAGTGGTAAGTTGTTATTGTTTGTGAGTATGGCCCTACCCATTGGGTTTCATGGTGGAAACTTAACAGAATTACAACACTAAAAGTAAAATAAATTTTGATCCACAGTGCCAAACCATCAAATAGAATTCTCATTACCAATACTGAGATCTCTCTACCTGACAATTCTCTAAATATTAAACAAAACCCTGATGTCAAGTCTAGTGACACTAGCTCATTCTTCAATTTAGCAATTAATAACAGTAAAAAATACTATATGTGAAATTACATGTCTCCCTAATATTATCACAAATTTCAGAAATACTAGGAATTAAGTCTGAATTGTTCACATTTTGTGTACCTGAAGTTAAGCATAGATTCCAACATATAATGGGGACTCAATTATTTTTGAATGAATAAAATTTTAGGACAAAATGAAATGTACACAAGAGCATCACCTATCTTTTCTATCTTTTTAGTTGGCTTTTCATAAGTATTTTTTGATGTTCCCTCACACCTTTTTAATATTTATTAAATGATAAAGTAATGAACTCTTATGTCTCAGTTCTTCATCTCTGAAATGGGGACAATAGTGTACCTATTCCAGGCTGGTTATGAAGATTAAATGAGTTGCATAGGAGAATGCTTGGAATTCTGCCTGACACATAGTAAATATCATCCTCCATCTTCATCATCATCATCATCATCATCATTGTCACCATTAGCTGCAGCATTAACATAGCTGGGCCTTTTTTCCAGTGAGAATTCAGCCCCTGACTCTTTGGTCCTTGTTAGTCACTTCTCTGTTAGAAGATTGGTCTCAGGCTGGATTGACTCTTCTTTAAAAGTCTTGTAAGAAAAAAATTATCCCTCTGGAAGATGCTATCCTAAAGTGTTTCCATGAAAAGTAATGTTTCTCTCTTTATTTGATTGCTTACTACCACCAACCTGCTTTAGAATCTTCTCCTAACCATTGGTTATCATAGTTTAATTGTGCCACATGCAACCTCCTCATCCCCACAATTTTCCCCTTTTATTCTAAAAGCCTATAGTGGTGTCATGGTCTCTGCTCCTGTTACTCAAACTGGATCAATTGAAAATGGAGAATGAACCACAAGTTTTCTTTTAGAGTTCAACTTGTTTAACACGAGACAGCATGTTTTATACTGTACTGACCATTTAACTATTATATTAGAATTCTCTGCCATCTATTGCTTAACAGATAAACAGATTCAGATAAAACATTTAGTATATATTAGGGCCTGAAACATATGGAATACTAAGCTACTTAATATTCTTGTTGTATGTATCTCATTTCCTTCAGACCAAAGTTATACTAATAAATGTAATTAATGTAAAACCTGCTTAACAACATTAATTGTGGTCATTAAATGAAATCCCTAAGCTCTTTCCTACATATTACCAAAAGCTCCCCCCTGAATCACCTTATAGAATGGTTAACCACGCAAGACTATTTCTGTTGGGCTTTGGTGCTATAGGAACATGTCTTCCTGATGAGATCATGTTCCAACCTGTCAAAAACGTGTGTTAGATTCCCTCCTTGTTACCTCTTGGAATTGAAGGATGGTGATCCCCTCATCTGGCAAACTTAATTTACTCCTTAGTTTCATATAGGGTTTTCTCCTGCAATGAATATATAAACATATGTAATTAAGTTTTTTAAATATTTTTAATGCTAATAAAACTTTCATTTTTTTAACCTCTAATTAAATTTATTTTCTTACATCATTGCTCACTTTCATACAGTATATGACTGCTCCTCTCAAGTGTAGTCCCCATAGTTTTCCCATCACCATAGAACATCCCCAAAGTCCTGTAGTCTTCTGTAGGGTCAGGATGGACACAGAGCAGATTTTCTCTTTCCATGCAGACCGGGTAAAGGAAGAGTCAGAGTCCTCAGTGGTTTTGCAGGGTTTTATTGGTATTACCAGGTACACGGCAGGCAGCAGCGCTGGGAGGCTGGTAGGCTGGCAGGCCTCCCAGCCCCCAGCAAGTCTTCACTCTGGGCTCTCCTGCATTCTCTCACATTCTCTCTGCTCTTCTCATGGCTCTGCTTCTCTCTCGGCTTCTGCTGCTTCTTTCTCGGCTTCTCTTTCGGCTTCTGCTGGTGTCCTCATGACGCCGCCCTTAAAAGCCCAGTCTTAGCCCAGGTGAATCCCATCTACCTATGCCCACACCCTATTCCAAGTGCCCGCCATCAGGCATGCATTCAGGACCGCAAGGATCCATCATCTATCCTGATGGCGGGAGGGCAGAAAAGCCTGACATTTTTCACTTACCCTACATTTTCCCTCCCCTGTTTTACCCTCCTTCATCCCCTCCCTTGTTGAATGCCTCAGATCTGTGGTCAGATTGCAAGTTTTCTCTTTGTTTGGTTTCTCTATATTCTACATGTAAGTGAAATCATCCCACATATATCTTTTACCTTCTGAGTTACTTTGCTTAGTAATGCTGTTTAGTTCTTGATTGTAAAAAATATATAAAATAATATATATATATATAAAAAAATACATGGTAACGGCCATTTAATTAAAAAATATGAATGCATTTTTTAAAAGTTATTTGAATATGTAAAATTTTCATTTTTATAAAAATGTGGAACTGTATCTCTTACTGTTCTTAATTATCCATAGTCCAGATTATTTAATCCAATAGCCCTCAACCTTGATGGTACAGCTTCTTAAAATTGCAGATGTTCTATCTGATCCCAGAAAAGTCAACAAAAATTTTGAGGATGAAAACGAGGCATTACATTTTTTAGCCCTAAGCCCTATAATACATTCTGATGATCAGTCATGAGACTCTTTCCATATCATGCTAATTGAAAATATTCAACAAATCAACAATATTACATTGTTTTATTACAGGTTGAAAATGATAATAAAGACAACAAAAATAATCAGAAAAAGTCAAAATCTAGAAATGAGAAAAAGGCATAGATCACCCTTATTCCTGTGTATCCAAACACATCATCTTATAACTGGGAACACTTTGCTCTTAGAAAATCTTGATCTCTGGTAAGAAATGGTGGGATTGTAATGTTGGAAAATTGCCTGTAGTACTCTAAAATACTCTGTACATGAATGACATTAGAGTTTTGTGCTTTGAATGCCTGGTTTGTTTTTTCTGGCATAAGTATTCTGCTTGATGAAAAGGGGCAACCAATGTAGCAGTCACATTATGATAATAAAGTTCTCTAAGTTAATTGCTAGTAATAATTTGAAATCTGATGAAAAGATGTATTAATTTGAATTCTATTGATCAGTTTTTCCTTATGTAATTTAAAAATAATTCACAGCTTAAAGGAAAATAGAATATATGACTGCATTTTAGAATCTTTTTCTTAATCCCAAACATATTGCATACATTTTAAATAATGCTAGACAGAAGATACCATAATGTGATGCTTCAATTATCCATTTTAATCTTAATAAAAATTCAGAGAATTTGCTAATCAATATGCACAATGATTAAACAGATATATTCCTAGTAGTTTTAGAGCCAAAACTTCCAGAAGGATCTTAGTAGGGGGGAAATAGCCTTCTTGGAAAGGTTATAGCCCTAAGTTTAAATAACTATGACTGTTCTGAATCATTTAATGTATATTAATATCTATGTGCTATAATAAGACCTTAAAATGGAATGTGGTCTGTCGATTCCTAATATCTATTCAAATATGTTATTAACTCCATTGTTCAGAGAACTATTTTTCAGTTTATGAATTATTTATTTCCTTTGTCTTGAAAAGGTTATTACAACTATTGGGACCAAGACAATATTAAAGGTCCAGACCTTGACGATAATGCTCAGGAGATATTTAAGCATGGAAGAGAGGCACTGATTACAAAAGCAAGTAACTTTTAATTTGAATGAAGAGCCATCACAATGTTCTTCAGAATTTCAAAGACATTCTACATGGATTATTGAACAACAACATGAAATGAACTCTCTAAGAACCCCCATGTGCTTTTAGTTTGATGTGAAATACAGCAGACAAGATTTTTGCCAACATTAGATCTAGGGAATGGGGTGATATCAAGAATTATAGCCTTGACTTTCACTTGTTATCTTTTGCAAACCAAACCAAAGTTCTGACCATTAATTGGCTTGAATGCGCTGAGTTCATTAGATTCCAGGATGATTTAAAATTTTCCAAAGAACATTCTGTATGGCCATAGGACATAAACCCTAATAGATGCAATAGGATTTAACCCTTTATATAAGAGAGAATTTTGAACTTGGGGTCAAAATAGGTTTAAAATGAGAAACTCATATCAAAAATAACAACCAAACCATGTACTAGCCACTACTATCATTAAAATACAATTTGTTGCTTTGTAGACATAAGATTGTACTATTGGCAAGTGTTTTTTCATGGCAAGAACCAAGCTGATATAAGGAAATTCTATATGACTGAAATTTCTGTGAATGATGTTCAGCTAAAAGCTATCATCCCATGGTCAATTAAAGAAGCTATGAGATTTGTAACTAACTCAATTTTACATCCATTATGTTGTCATTTTATCAATGACATCTGAGTACCATTAAATATTAAGAAGAAGGACTAATAGCCACACATTCATAGGGAAAGTGTATTTTCTATTAGAAAATAGAATTGACACATTCTTTATTATAATACAATTTCATGAAACTTACATAACAAATGAAGAGTAAACTAATAGCTGATGCAATCCTGTTTTGGAACATTCAACACCTCCTCCATCATCATCAGAAAATCAAGATCTTCATAGTATTAATTTAAGTATGTGAAACAGTTATTTTAAATTTCCTTGCAACCTCCTAAATATTAGTAAATTTCAATTGAGACACTTCTAGTGAATCATACATTATTCTGCCTCACATAAAGCATTCTTACATGAAAAGCATAATGACAATAGATTATTCATGCGACTGAAGGAAGAACTCAAAAATAGGTCACTTATCAGGCATCAATAACAAATTTTATTGCTGGACTAATATAAACCTAGAAAACATCTGTGAAAAGTGCCCAATGGAGTCTGAACTACACATAAAGAGCTTGGTTTTCTTTAAATCCTTATCCTGGAAATACTTCTTTTAAAGTTTATGGAGTGAAACCAGAGATAGGTTTTACCTCTTTTATAGTTCTATTATCCCAGCAAAAGTAGATACTTAAAGAGTCAGCTATTATTTCAAAAAAAATAGCTTCAGCAATAAATTGTCAATGATATCATTGCCAAAATTAAGCTGTCATTAAAGTTCTCTGTACATTTTTACCAGAGCATTTAATTAAATAAAATATTGTGACTATAATACTAAAAGTAATCTTTTCTCTCAGATTTCAAAACCAGTGAACATTGACACATTTTGAGTGGAAAATTATAGACCCTTATGATAACTTAAAAGAATCCAATAAAAATTAATAAGTGCATAAACTAATTAAGATGTTTAAGTGTTAATAAAGAATCTAATAATATATTTTCGAAGACATCTATTTCAACTTCCTATTTGCTCATTCAGGAATTCAAATGCCTTGACTTTCCCCACTGCCTCAGCAACAAGGGCCATTGTCAGTATGGACAATAATCCCTCTCTGTGCTCTGCTACTCCAAATACTACTTTCACCATAACTGCTAATTTGATTATCTCACAGGAACCTCTGTTCCTTTTTATTTGCAATATAAATTCTCTTATCCCTTACAGTAACACAATGTATTAGTAACCTTTGTGATGTTTCACTATATCAAAGTCAATTGGAAGCAGGTAAGTTTCCATAGCAGGATGGGTTGGGCATCTGTACTAGTAACAGTAAACTCACAATAATTATAACAAGTTGACTCAAAACTGTATAAGATTCAAAAACAATAGAAGTGCTAGATGGTATAAGATGAGACATTTCTAGATGGTATAAGAGGTGTGGAGGGGGGTGAGGAGGGCAGTCATCTCCCATATTGTCATTCAGAGACCCAGAGCGATGAAAGTTCTGCCTTCTCCAGCATGTGCTTCCAAAGTTTTCTGGGAGAGACCCCCCACTCCCTATTTTAGGCAGGTCCACTGAAATAGTCACTGCTATGAAGTGATTTCAAACTTCAGTAAAAGGAATTTTTATTAAAGTTATTATTCAGAGTCAAACTGAAGGCCCAGACCCAAGATATTAATATTATATTTCTCTGAGTGAATGATGCCAACCCTATAGTTGTTGGCTTCAGTTATATAGTTAAATTACAAACACAGAAATAACACATAATTATTTTTTTCCTAACAAAGGAAAGAAGACTTCTAGTTAATTTCTAACATTTTCAGTTAACTAAAATTGTCATCACCAACAAGTCAATTAACTTAGTTAATTGGTAAAGGAAAAGCACTTCTCATAACTTCAAAGCAATCCCTTCATCTTACAAAGCTAATTCAGTCAAAGCTATCTGTGTTTGTAAAGGTGCAAAGACCTGAGATTATTTGAGTATCTTATCCTAAAACTACCCCTATAGACCTGAGAGCACAGTAAGTCTTTTATCTCATGCTCCTTCTTCCTGCAAAAAAACATGACAGGAACTAACAGATTTTCCCTACATTTCCTTTGTTTCCCACACAGGATCCTTCATTGTGAACTAATCACTGCCTCAATCTCTATCTCAATGATTCAATCTCTAGAGATGGTCTAGGTGAGACAGAGATCAAAAATATGGGATTTTCTTTTCTTGGTCCACAGGCAGCAGGAAGGGGGAGCATGGAGGGACACCATGGGCATGTATGAACCAAGCCTGGAAGGAGCATCTGCTGTCATATTTCAAACAATACAGCTGAGTCAAGTGGTAATACCTAATGATGAGGAAAGTTGGAGAATGTGTGCTTTCTTGGGAAATCACTTTTAAGTATGAATTTTGAAGGATAATTGACTACACCTGCCACAGCCCAAGGTACTTTAGACTGCAGCTCTTCCAGTCCACATAAAGGACTCTTCATGTCCCCAAATCTGCACATGCTTTTAGGGCAGTCAGACAACAACTGATTTCCAAACTAGGCACGAGACCTACTTTTCCACTCTGATCTCTCTCTTGGTAGCCTTCTATGGTATGCATTCTAACTTAAATATGCTAAATTATATATCTGTTTAACACCTTGGACCAGGTACTGATAGCCATCCCCAAAGAAACTCTTCAACCTCAAAAGAATATAGGAAAAAAATAAATTTTCTGATTAAGTATGTTCTTTTAAATTATAAATTAGACCTAACTCATATCTCAACTCTAACCCATCTGGTTTCCTTGATAGGAATGTGAGGTGATTTTGAATATTAGTTGGAATTTATGCAGGCATAGGAACTAAAGAAAGAGCTCTAGATGATAGGCAAAATTTGAGCAAAAACTGACATGAATTCATTCATTTATTCATTCATCAAATAGATATATTTCTGAATCTCAGAGAAAACACTGACTTTTTTATTTAAAAGCCAGATATTATATTCTTTACATAGACTATAAACTACCTTATGGCTGGTGCTATTTGTTATTCTCTTGGTAATGTTCATAGAATTGATTGCAAAGTCTTTGTCACAAAAATTTTGAAAGTACAATTTAGAGCTTAAAAATAATTTATTGGTGGCTTTACCTACTAACTCTATCAATGAATATACCTTGAAATCAAGATCAGGAGGAAGATTAGAACAAATTCAAATAGATTATAGGTATTTTCAAGATTCAGGAAGCAAGCAACTAAAAATGAGAGTAATGTATTTTAGATTTGTATCCATAGGCAAGAGCCCAAGATTCATGAAACTCCATCTTCAGAATACTGGTTAAGCAATGACATTTGGAAACATCAAGAACATCAACTCTCCTATAATCCTCCTCTCTGAAAAAGTCTTGGCTAGGCCCAGCCCAGCTGACTGGATTTGAGAGGCTGCCTCAGAAGGTAGATGTGCCTCTTGCTTGCATCTGTGATGCAGGATGCCTTAGCACAAACACCACTAGTGTTCCAAGAAGTGATGCCAAAGGTCAGCTTGGAGAAATGTGTCCAAATGTGCTGTAAAACCAAAGAAACCTGAGACTCAAAGCCAAGACTGCCAAGAATCCAGGCAAAGCTACACCAAGAAACAATGGGTAAGAATTGGGAACCGGTGGTTAGTAACTGGCATCTAATGCCTTTGGCTATCCTTGTTCTATGTGGGTGTAAGGTGAGACAAAGCCACTATGACAAAGGACCTAGGCCAGAGTGGAAAAAGCAAACTGAGTTTAAGAAATTAGCTAGGATAGAAATAAGTGCCACCAGAGAAGATTTCTAGGATGAAATCTGTGGTAATTTCTAACATGAAGTAAGTGGTAACAAGTATCACTTGATTTGAAAAAAAGCTGATAGATCATGGCTATGTCCTAAACATATTCATTCTTTTTTATTTATTTATTTATTTATTTATTTATTTATTTATTTATTTATTTATTTATTTATTTAGTTTTTAAGTCATTGTTCATTTTTATTTTTTTTTTTTATAGAGGCATGTTTTTTTTATTTATTTATTTATTTGTTTGTTTGTTTGTTTATACATGCACTGGGTACAGTCAGAAGCGAGGGAGGGTGAGAGAATTCACCAGAGCCAGAGCGGGGAACAGAGCAGGCAGAAGGCCCGAAGTACACTGCTGAGGGGAGCAGCGGGCGGCAGGAGAGGTCTGCGCACCATGTGGGACCCTCCTCCGGTGGCCGGGGAGCAGCCGGGGATCGAACCGGCGCCGCAGAGGCCGCGGGCAGCTTTGCAACCCAGCATTCAACCGCTGAGCCACCGGGGAGGCCCCATTGTTCATTTTTAAACAATGTTTGCTTCTGCCCCTCAGATGTAGTCCCCACAGAAATTGCTTCACCAATGCATCTGTGCACCATCACCACAGCCTCCTGTGTTCCTTCCTCACTCTCTCTGATCCCTCTCCCTCCTCCTCCCCTGCAGGATGTCTCTGATTTTTTTTAAATGATTTTTTTTATTTATGCATACAAGAGCTGGGGCACAGGCCAGAGATGTGGGGTAGGGGGCCGGTGAGAAGATTCACCAGAGACAGTGTGGGGAACAGAACAGGCAGACTGATTAAAACACACTGCTGAGGGGAGCAGCGGACGAGACAGAAGTGGTCTGCTTCGCCATGTGGGTTGCTTCCTGGCGGGCTGGGAATGGAACTCCTGTGGTAGAGGCTTTTTCGGATTGCTTCATAGTGCGGTACTCAACCCCTTGCGCCACCAGGGAGGCCCAGGATGTCTCTGATTTATAATTGTCTGTTTGTTTTTGTTTTGTTGTGCTTTGTATTAAACATACTCGTTATTGACTCAATTTTCAAATAGAGTTTTGAATTTTAACCATGAGAATCATTGGTATAAAGTAAGCAAAACATAAGAACATTAATAGTCCTGAATCCCCTTTGAAACAGTTTAATTGGTTGTCTGTCACCTAACAATCTTATCAGTTATGACAAGATAGGAATTTACAGCTTTTCCTTCCTTTATTTTTTTATTTTTTTTTTTAGTGTGACTTTCTTAGATTGAGTTTCCCTAAAACAGGCTCAGATACACAAATCTATGGGTGAGTGATTTATGAAGAAAGTACTCCCAGGAAAAACCAGTAAGGGAGTGGGAGCCACAGGACAGGAAGGGGGAAAGCCAAACAAGAATGCAATTTCAGCAAAGTTCCCTGCCCCTCAAGAATAGGTGCAACTTGATTCCCCAGGGGTCTCTGGAGTGTAGCTATTGCTGAGTTGTCCTGTCTGGGGGCAAGAGAGCTGCCTTTCAAACCCTTGCATTGCACAGACCAGCACAAACCAAAAATTACTCTGAGCTGAAAGAAACACCAGAAGTTTTGTCTTGCCCTTTTCACAGCAGGTGAAGGTCGTCCTCTTTTGAACAGTCCTAGGGACAGCTGTTGACAGCAAGAGTGTGACGAATTCAGCCCGGACTCACCAAATACTAAAATGATAACCGAGGGAATCTGGACAGAAGACTGATTTGGAGAGTACTACACATGATTTTAATTTATATATGTAAACTCTATTCCATTAAAAATGTTTACATCACAATATGTTCATTTTTTATAAGAAAAAGCAATATGTTTGTTATCTTGTGTTTATATTCACAAGAATATAAAAAACAAAAAAGTCTAAATCTCCCACGAATTCTTCTCCATTCTACTCCCTCATTAAAATTGTTATACATATATATCTTTACATATATACGTGAATAAATATATGGTCATGCATGTAAGGTTTGTTTTTGTTTAGTAAAAATATCAAGAGTATGCTCAGTACATCATTATTTTGTCTACTTAAAATTATCACTTGGCTATCCTTCCAAATAAATAAAAAATATATGTATTTAACTTATTACCAAAATAAGAAAAACATTCAATGAATGGATGACCCAAAATATACTAAAATGTTTCCTTATGGGAAATAAATGTTTCCTAATATGGAAAAAATATTTACTTAAGAATAGTAGACATTAAAGATGATTTTTAGGTCACTATAAATAATGCTACCTATGTCTTTCTATGGAAGTGTGTTGGCGCCTAACCTCGTGGCATCAGGATACTCCCCCTTTCCGTGATTGGCTGTGCTTCTTTTGGCCCAGTGCGCATGACGGCTTTGGCCTGCTTCTTCCGCTTCCGGTCCCCAGCTATAAAGTAAACGAGACCTGCGATAGCTGAACAAAGAGTGCACGAGTCTCCCTCCGTGGTGTACCCCTGTTCTTCAGGTCGCTGCTCTCCCCTCGAGAACCTCGTTGACCAGTCCGCAGGCTCGGACAGAAGTGTTTTATTTCTATAGGATAGATACCAAAAAGTGGGATTTCTGGGCCAAAGGGTAAGTAGATTTCTAATTTTAAAAGGTAAAGAGAAGATTAGCTGCTATTACCTTGCTTTCTATTTCACTGAGAAAACAGAAGCAATCAGAAGATAACCCTTGCAAGCAGCCTCAAGCAATGTACCATTTGCCAGGATCTTTATCATTACACTATGTGCTCTTTCCTATCAGCAGTGGACTGTCTGTTCTCCTCCTTAAGTCTCGTCTCTCCTTCTATATGCTACAGAAATCCCCCTTTACTACACAAGGTCATTTTTACTGCAGCAATTCTTCCCATTTTTCTCTCTCTCTTATATTACTTCAATCTTTCCACTTGCTCAAGACAAAAAATCTTGACAAATAGTGCCATCCATGACCATTCTTTTTTTCATGCTAACCATACGATGCATCGGCAAATCAAGTTGATTATAGTTTAATATATGTCCGGGACATAAACACGTCGCACAGCCTTCAATGTTACAATCTTTGGTCCATACAATCTTTCCCACCCCAGATTATGGCCCTGCCTGCTGAAATAGTCTCTGTTTCCTCCTTTGTTCCCTTACAATCTAGTCTCTACAGAGTAGCCAGAGTAATCTGTTTTCATTAAAAATAAATTAGGTCATTCTTCTGCTCAAAAAATCCCAATGGTTTCCTGCTTCTCTGAGCAAAAACTAAAATATTCATATACACACACCCACAGGCCTTATATAACTGCCAACCTCCAATTCTTTACCTCTCTGATTGGATTTTTGCTTACTCTGTACTCATGGCTGATTCTGTTCCAGCCATGCTGTTCCCTGCGTTCTCTGTTGAATATTTGGTCATGCATCTACCGCTGGATCTTTGCACTTGCTATTATCCCTGACTAGAACAATCTTCCCAATTTCTGTTTGCCTAATACCTCCTCTCACCTTTAATTCTCAACTCAGATGCGATCTTAAAAGTAAAGACCCTACACATTTTTTAAAATTGTAATGACTGCTTCTATTTTGTAACCCTCATTACATTCAAATACAATGTGCAATTAAATCACTTTGGATATTTTAGGATTTTCAGAATTAACCATAACACCTGTGAATTAAGGGAAATTTTATTTTTTTCCTAAATGATCTTTACATCTTTAGATTTTTATTGCTGATCTTATTCCAATGACTACGATTTACCATCAATTTTGAATAGAGATGATAAGCGCATATTTTTTACCTTGTCTCCAATAACTGGAGGAAAATAATCAATACTTTATCATGGTGTATGTTAGCTATAATTTTTTACATATGCCTTTTATCAGATAAAGGAATTCTCCCTTGATTCCTAGCTTGCTGAGAACTTTAATCATAAATGAAATGCTTTTCGAATGCTTTCTCTGCACTTACTGAAATGATCATAAAATTTTTTTCCCTTAACCGTCTAATATGGTGATTTAGATTTATTTTAGATGTTAGACCAAATCGGCATTTCTAAAATAAAGACTGTGTAGTGAATATTTTATTATGCTAATACCCTGATAGTTATTTTTGTGTCTATATTCACAAAGGATATTGTCTGTAATTTCTTTATTTTGCAACTCTAATCAGACATTTTATTAGCATTTTAATTTGGGAGAAATTTGTTCTCTTTTTCATAAAATGTTTAGCATAGTTTTGGGGTTATTTCTTCATTAATGTTTCTCAGAATTCATTAGTGAAACTATCTGCGCCTGTAATTTACTTTATGGTAATTTTTTTTTAATAATTCGACTTAATTAAGACTTATAGGGCTACTTTTCATAGGCGTTTGGGAGTTATAAAGTTTTTGTGAATCTATAAATTTCACAATTTTTGTTATTGTTTCTTCTTCTTCTAGCCAAATTTTCTCTTTTCTCTCCTTTGAGACAACAATTATATATATATATATTAGAATTTATAATATTATGCTATAGATCCCAGAGTTTCCTTTGTTCTTTGAAAATAGTTTTCTATTATTCAGACAACTGTCATTGACCTAATTCAGTTTCCCTTGAAATCTCCAGTCTATTATTAAGTGAAATTTTTCTTGATAATATTGAAGACAATAGAAGATACTATTAGTGGAGATAACTAAGGCACAGGTTTTCAAGTATTTGTCATTCCACATCTCAACCTACATCTGGATAGATTCAGCATTCTCCAGCATATGAAAGCTTCAAAGGTAAAAGCCGAGGAAATGTAACTTTCCTATAAGGAACAACTCCAGGAAACACAGCTTTGTCAGAAAATAAACCCGGAATAATAGTACACACATATGCTGAGGCAAAGACTGATTTGAGTTTTAAAATATTGCCAGGCCTCCCTGGTGGTCTAGGGGTTGAAGTCTCAGCGCTACCACCACATTGTTCAAAGCAGCCTGCGTTCCATTGCAGTCAGGGAGCTGACCCATATATGAGGCAGCAGACCTCTCCTATCTCACCCACTGCTCCTCTCAGCAGTGTATTTCAGTCAGTCTGCCTATTCTGCTCCCCACTCTGTCTCTGGTGAATCCTCTCACCCCTGCACCTCAGTTCTATGCAAAAATAAATAATAATCTTTAAAAAAATAGTGCCCAATACAGAACACATTACTTTTGCATTCTATAAATTTTAAGAATTCACTTAACGAAAATGTATTAAGATTTTACTAAAGATTCTTTCCCTCTCTAACAAAAGCATAATACTTTCACTAACTTTCACAAAATACCCATACAATGCTGTTGAAAATAACACATTATGAAAAGATAAAGTGATGGTTATGTAAGGCACCTTAATGACATGGCTTTTGGGTCCTCCTGCCTAAGATACCAGCCTCTCTCACAGGAACCTCACACACTCAGGGAAGGGAGCAGAGATTCGCCCATTTCTCTCCACCAAAGAGGAACTTGACTGGGCTCAGACCTTCAGTCTTGCTGCTGCTTTGAGGAAAGACAGGGATCTGATCATGGTCATTGGTCATTTTCAAATAAATGGAGTAGTTAGGTAACAAAATGCCCCACTTTACCTCCACCATCCCCTTCAACTATAACTTACCTCCTCTGCCCTTTCCTGATGGAAGCTGGGGGAGACTAAGCTTTCTCTTTCCCCTCCACTATCACATTATCCAAAAATTTCCAATTTTCCCTAATAGTTACTCAGTGATGTGGCTTTGGATAATTCATTTGATAATAAAGACAATTCAACAGAACAAAAAAAAAAAAAAAGATTCCCTCCAAATGACTGAAGCAAATATATTTTTTGAGATTTATTTTTATTTATTTATGCATACAAGAACTGTGGTGTAGGCCAGAGGTTGTGTGTGTGTGTGCGTGCGTGTGTGTGTGTGTGTGAGAGAGAGAGAGAGAGAGAGAGAGAGAGAGAGAGAGAGAGAGAGAGAGAAAGAGAGAGAGGGAGGGAGTATTCACCAGAGACAAAGTAGGGAGCAGAACAGGAAGATCTACTGAAATACATTGCTAAGGAGAGCAGCAGGCAAGGCAGGAGAGGTCTGCTGTACCATGTGGTTTAACTCCCTGGCCTGGGATCAAACTCCTGCTGCAGTGGCTGTCAATAGTTTCTTAGTGCTGAGACTTAACCCCTTGCGCCATCAGGAAGGTCCAACAGAAGCAAATATTTTTAAGACAGAAAATATTGCAAATGAAACTGGCTCTCCAAACTTTATACAACAATTAATTTCTTCCTAAAACATTTATCTGCTGTCATGTGGCTATATCCTTGTGTATTTTCAGTAAGCCTAAAAGGGTAGTGTTTATCAATAAAACGTTCCTAAGTACTAAAACTAATTATACTTTATATTGCTAAATGTGGAAGTTGCTTTATTTTAAAAAAAAATCTGAGGTTTCTATCTTTACCAAATATGTGGCTTCCTTGCTGTCTGTATTTCATTTCCCTTGCTTATTTACCAAAAGATAAACTAGTCACTTTTCCCCCTGGCTTTGCTTAGCTATAAATTTTTTTTACCCTTATGGACAATTTTATTTTGGACTTTGATAAAGGGAGATCCTGTCTTTAGGTATACTGTGTTTGTTCTAACTTAAAATTTTACTTAATTTACCAGTGCATTAACAAAAATTCAATTGACAAACTCAAAATATAAAAACAGAGTTGAAAATGACGGCAGTTTGTTACCAAAATTGTAACTCTTAAGCAATCAGTAAGTAGGGATTTTTTTTCCCCTCACAGCCCCCTTTGTTCCTTAAAAAAAAAAAAAAATGTTTGGCATCACGCCTCAGAACTTTA